ACTATTATACATGTTTAGATGTATAGTACAATGGGAATGTGGTTTGAATATGGCTGGCTATTTTAAACGGTCATAAAAAGAAAACTAATTTATGGGAAAATTCTACATGGCCAGAATGAAGTGCTAACGTTTATCTAGAAAATTATTTGGAGTCTCAAAATTTGACGAATTGACTCTAAAAACAAATCAACTCTAAAAGAGGTTTGGAGATTACAATTTTGATTAAATTTTGAAGCATTTGAACACTGCTAAAAAGACCTATCAAATTGAAAACTAAAATTTTGACAATTCAACAATATCACCAAAATTTTACTCCACTAAATTTTTAGCTATAATATGGTATATCTATGCAGCTTTTATTGAGTAGTGATTTTTGTTTTTTCAAACAAAACTGTTTGATAAAACTTTGACCAACAAAAATTTGGAGCTATATAGTAGTTTGGTCGCTTTCAATATTAGACTAAAAAGCACAGCTTTATTATACTTTCGTCATAGGTAATGATGCTACTGCAGTTCCAACTGATCCAGCAATGATCCCTGCATTCCCAACAGAATCCTCTTACAGTAACAAAAACAGTAAGTGGGCGATAGACAAGTTAACATTTACACTGTATATGTTTTAGATGCTCACAAAGTTTTGACAAGTAGTAACGACATGTTAACAAAGATTGATTTGATGTATTTAGCAGATAAGATGGTAGAAAAAGGTATCATTACAAGTGAGCAAAAAAGGGAAATAGTTGATGACAGATATCATGGACTGTCTGGATTCCAGCGCATCAATAAGTTACTGGATCATTTGAGAGACACTGTTGAAGTCAATGAGGGAACATTTCAATGGTTCATTAAAATTTTAAATGATTATAATACTGTGTGGTCAAAAAGTGTTGCTAAGAAACTAATGGATAAGTATACTGAAGTAGGTTGAAAATTGTCACTTTTACTAATTTGACTTTGTCATAGCTACAGAAACCAAGTTAATCAGCAGCAACATGTTTTCTATTTGTGAAACGTGGTTTAACGATACATTAGATTTTAAAATAATAATTATAGTTAAATTGATTAAAAATAAGACATTTTGAACAAAAAAATGATCACGGGAGTGTCATTATACATGTAGACTTTCATGTACCTGTAGACAATAACGTGCATGATATGCAACAGTTAGTCTAGAGCATTACAGTACAACTGGAGCTCATAGGTAAGTCTTCTGATAAAAATATTACAATAGCATTACAATGTAGATCTACAGCCATAATATAATACAAACATAGCAGGAAGTTATTTTATTGAAAATTAAAAAATCAGTTCAGCCAGCAAAAGATGTAATAAGTCAGGCCGGCCTGACAAGCAATAGCGTATAATAGCATAGCAATTTAACAGCATAAAGTTTCTTGCAAAAACAGCAGCTAGATAGCAGGAGGTAAAGCAGCTCTCCAGCCATCTTGTAGTGCTTTACGTAATTCAGTCACAGTAGATTCCATTTCTGGTTTATCAGCAATATTAACGTTCTCATCATTGAATGACACCGTTGGAGTAGAGTGATCGTAAAGCTCAGTGCCCCACTTCTTATCAAAGTCTGGTTT